CTCTCCACTCCCTAGCCAACTCCCCTCTCAATGCAATCCCTACCTTCCCTACAGTCCATTGAATTCCCCCATACTCATATTCCCGGACCCCGTTTTTATGGAAATCAAGATCGGAGAGCAGGCAAAATTGCCACCGCCGAGTGCTCATCAGCGTGAACAGACATTCTGCCTTGATTTTCTGGTTCATGGCCTGATCGCCTGCCCCGAAACGCCTGGTATTCCAGGCGCCCCCCGGGATATAACGGGTGATGTCCTGGTGCTTTCGTTTATTCCTACGTAGAAGCGACAAGTTGCGCATCGCCTGGGATCGTTTCCTAGCTCTCTCCCTCTTCCTAGCTTTCCTACGGTCCTCTCTGCGACGCAAATTCCTACGTTGACAGCGTGTCCTACCTGCCGGTGTCGAAGGGTCCAAAGAGCACACTTCCAAGGGCCCCGACATAAAACGTTCGCCAGCCGGCGCGCCTGGACCACGGGCGTCGCCGGCGCCGCTCCCCGCCCCTTCGCCTGGGGAAAGGTCCGGAGACCCAACCGCCCCATGGCGAATGTGAGACGAGGAGGGATGTACACTCCCGCCCCCGATCTGGATGTTCTGGCCGGTGGCAGGTCCGTCCGGGCGCCAGAAGGAAGACCCCACCCCAGAGGCCGCGGACCTACCACCCAGAGTGTCGCTAAAGGGGGCGCCCCCGAGAGGGCATGGGTTAGCCGTACCCCCTCCCACCTCCTCTACTCCTCCTCCCTGATCCCTCACCCCGGAGGCCCGAATAAGACATAGACCCAAGAGGAGAACTAAGAGCATGAGATTGGGGTGGGGACGAGTGGAGGGTGATAGAGGTAGGGTGGGGGATACGTTGCCCCAGGTGCGGCCATGGCCGCACTCGTCCTTGGGAAGCCTTAACGATCCCTTGGCTCCTTGAGCGGCCATACATCTAACAACCTCTATCTATCTATCAACCATCGGGACAATCATTGGGACAACCATCGGGACAACCATCTTGTGAGTCCTGATGCCAGGGAGTCTCCGGCTCCCTTGGTATCAAACTTGGAACTTGCTCCGTTGATAGCTCAGTCTCCGTATCCGTGTCTGCATCCCCCCTCCTCCTCCTCACTCGCCCCGTGGGGCTCGAGAGATCGAGCACCATGGCCCAAGAGCCAAGAGTCCAGAGGCCCAGCAAGCCCCCCCCGAGAAAAAACGAAGGCGCGGCCGCCGCGCCCCGGAGAGGGCGCGATCTTCCCCCCCCCACCCGCGCAGGAGGTTTGCCCCTCCTCCCCCCCGCCCCCCGAGGCCGGGGTCGAAAGGGCCGAGGAGGTTCGAGATTTGAACTTCGAGGGGTCGAGTTGCGAGGCTCGCTCTCTGGACGTCTTTGGTCATCCTAAGGCGCCCTCATGGCCACGGCTGGATCCGCGTGGAAATTCCCATCACAACGCACACCAGGAGAGGTCCAGTGGTCGATCTCCGACTCCACAAAAAAAGGTAAGGCGACAGCCCCCACACCATCACGAGGAGCCACAGAGGGTCCGCCTGGTGGTGTGGTCCCCCTCTTCTGTTCGAGGCATCTCTGATTACCAGCTCAGGGGGACATCGTGGACCTGCTCGCTTGAAATGGTACGCTCGTGGTGGTGGTGCTGCGTTCACCCCCTCCGATCTGGAGGCCCCCGAATCCCCACGAGATCCCCGGAGGCTTCCAGAGGCCTCCAAAGACCCCTGGAGGCCTTCAGAGGGCCCAAAAACCGCCCCACAGTGCTGGCGTTTCGTAACGGAGGGGGTCAATCGGAGGGTGAGGAAACGTGGACCCTTTCAACATTTGGGCCGTCAGTTGTAGTTCAGAGGCCGTTCAGGATCCCTTTCGGGCTAGGTTCCTGCCATCATCGAATCCCCTCTCCATGTATCGGGGGTAGAGAGCAACCCATTTCGCAAAACGCCATCTAAGGAAAAAGACCTGGGACCGGACCGGCAGGAGAAGGCCGGCAAAACTGCACCCGCAACAGCCTCTCGAGATCCGAAGGAGGGCAAATCGCCTGTCGACCTGGTGGTGTGGGGCTTCCATCAACTTCCGAGCTTCCTGCCCCCCCGCTGCCGAACATCCAACAAGAACGTCGGCCCTCGGGGATCTTCTGACCCGGGTCAATCCAGACCTGGGTCAGGCAGGTTGTGCAGGACCCTGCAAGATCCTGCAAGATACTGCAGGATCCAGCGCCCAAACCCAGGTCAGTGCACCCCTGGCCCTGCAGGATCCTGCAAGATCCGGCGCTCTGACCGACCTCAGTTTGCATTGACCCCCGTCTCTTGAGCCCCGAGGCCCCCGAACCTGGAACCCTCTGGCACACCGCGCCGTCGGTGGGACAGCGGTCCTCCAGGTGCTCCTTCGAGCGCGCCTCCGCCTCGCCCACCCACGAACGGGGCCGCCCCGCTCGGGGGGCGCCCGCGGGGCATGAGCGATCGATGTCGTCGACGTCGTCGACGTCGTCATCGATGTCGTCATCGTCGTCGACGCCGTCGTCGCCGTCGTCGTCGCCGCCGTCGTCATCGTCGATGCCGTCGTCGCCGTCGTCGTCGTCGCCGTCGTCGTCGTCGCCGCCGTCGTCGTCGTCGTCACAGTCAGCGTCATCGTCGTCGTCGTCATCGTCGTCGTCGTCGTCTTCGTGGCCGCCGTCGTCGTCGTCACGATCCCCGAATAACTCGGCCCGCCGACCTGTCCCGGGGAGCGTTCTGACGAGAATCTCGACGGGTACCCAGCCGTGGCTGCGAAGTTCCCTGGAGGCCCAAAAAGACATCCCGAAACCTCTGAACCGATTGCAGTCAACCCGTGTAACCAGGATGCGCGGTAAGGATGCACGGGCCTTGGAAGCCATGTTAACAGTTGTCGAACGAGGTTGGCCAGCGAACAGAAACATAAACGTTCTTCGGTCCACGCGGATTTTTTGCGTCGGCCCGGGGCCCCCCTCCCCACGGCCCCCCACCCCCGCACCCCTTCCCCCGCTCGTTGCGGGAAGGGTGGCCCGGCGCCGACCCCAAGAGATCCGCGCGGACCTCCGAGAGCGAATGCGAGTGTCGCCTTTTGCCCCCAGGCGAAGACCGAGCCGACGACGACGCCGTCGCCGTCGCCCACCGAGGGGGAACGATAGGGGTGGACTGGCCCAGGGAGGGAACATCGACCTAGAGTGGGCGACACATCGGCGATACGCCCACGATAAAGGAACTGCACGTTCCTGAGCGGGCTGGTTGTGTTACCCCCGTGAGCCTGTCCCCTCACGTATGCATTCCTGGCGTTCGGGTCATAACTTGGCTCTCTGGTGGTCGCTCGCGAAGAGTCGGGCACCCCTGGAACACTCTCGTCGAGGCGCAGCTGCTTGAACGCAGCCCGAGGTTGGAGAACCGCCGAGGGCCGACGAGAATGCCCGAAAGCTTCGAACCTGTATCTTGCGAAGGGGACACTCTTTACGTTGCGTCCCCCCTGAGCCTGTCTGGAGGCCTCCTAATTGGGGTCCCAATAGAGGGGGTCAAAGGATCGCGCCGCATGGTGAATGCATCGCCGATGCATCGGTGACGCACCGGCGACGTCTCGGACCCCATTTTCGGGCACGCGTTAAAATGGCTTAGGAATCCGTGGATCTGGCGAGGGACGAGAGTGCCAGATCCACGGATCGGGGAAAACAACGCCCGAAACATGGCGCCAATGCCGCCTCATTTCGCGATGGATCGCGCCGATTCTGTACGGAAGCGGGACCGGCGTCGCTAATCCACCCGTCTTTCGTTAAGAGCTTGACGACTTCTGCCTTCCCTCGACTCGCGCTGGACCAGACATGATTTTCTCATAATTTCCATGGAAATCTGTGGCTATAGCTGGGTTTGTTCGGACTTGACTTGATTTATCTGCATATACCTTGAATCATGCGGCTTATTGCCACTAGACGATTAGCGAAAAGTCGTCAAGCTATTAGGGACCTTACTCCATGCTTGTGCTCCCTGTTGGGGAGGTCTGGGACTGACTGCCCCCCCCGCCAGCCCCCCCCCCGGGCAGGAGCGCCCCAAATCGAGTCGACGAGTCGGATCGGCGATCGAAACGAATCGGATCGGCGGAAATCCGCCGCCGAATTGGGAGAAATCGCATCGGCAAAAAATTCGCCAGGCCAGCAGGGCTTCCGTGAAAATGAACCCGGCGCGACCCAATTTAGGGGAAAGCGTCCTATTGCATGGACGCAGTGCTCGGCATTGCCTTGCATTGGTTTGCATTGCTTTGCATTGCTTGGAATTTCGTGGCAATGCTTGGCATGAGGCACTCGGGGAGCCCAAGGAACCCAGGGAACCTCCGAGAACCTCCGAGCAACGGGCAAAGTACCCCCCCGAGGCACCAACCGTGATCCAAGTGCGAACCCCTTAGGCAAACCTGATTGGGGAAACAAATCGGACACCGGATCGGAGTTCGAGGCCAAACCGAAAAGAAGTAGGAGGCCACCGAAACCGAATCGAACCGAACCTGAGGAGTCGCAGCGAGCCCCCCCATCGGGTGCCCGAATTCTCTGGGATAACTGCGGTCTGGGGTGACTCCGGTCTGGGCCGCCGAGGCGCGAATGATCATTCCTGAGGGTTGGATAATTCGGAGGGCTGGACGCCCGAGCTATCCAGGACAAGTGCGGTGGGTGACTCCGGTCTGGGCCCATGAGGCGCGAGTGTGTATCTCCCCGACTGCCCCCGACCCTGCTGACTCGGGGCTCCGACCCCCCTGCGGGCGCCGTGGCCAGCTTCTGCTTCGCCTGGCCGGCGGCGGGGCGCGGGGGGCGCGCAGGCCCGCCGGGAAGCTCACGGGCAGAGGCGCGGCGCTCGCAGAGCTCCCCAGAAGCGCGCACCCGCGGCCCGGGGCGAGACGGAGCCCCCTGGAAGGCTCCCAGGGAGCCCCCCAGGAGGCCCCCCCACAGGGCCTCAATCCATGTCTCCTCTTCTTCCTCCTGCTCCTCCTGCTCCTCCTCCTCCTTTTTCTTCCTCTCCCAAATGTCCCCCCAAGGGGTTCCACAACGTTTGCTGGAACACACAGTCCGACAACTTGGCCAGACTTCGGCCCAACGTTTGGCCGCATCGGCACTTCCAGAGGACAGGGGGCGGCGGTGATGCGCCGTAGGCTTATTCGATCTACTGTGGGAGTGGTACAACGTGGCGCTCGCTTGACGGATTGCTTGTTTGCTATTCGTTGTTCAATTCCGCCTCGTGAAAGAGAGCCTAACGCGAGTCACATGATTCCTTTGCAAGGCCATGCAAGCTCGCATTTTGGCATGGGAAGAAAAAATTGGAGCCTCGACGAGCTGGTCATCCAACTGCTTCATCGTCGCCTGGGAATTCTTCCCTTCCCCCCGTTCATTCGATCATCCCTTTATCCAACCTCGCTCCTCCCTCCTCCTCGACTCCTCCTCCTCCTCCTCCCCTTCCCTCCTTATCTCCTCCTCCTCCTCCTCCTCGTCCTCCTCCGCTGCCTCCTCGCATCCCTTGCATCCTTCATGCTCATCCTCCTTGTTTAAGACTTCTCTTTTCGATCTGAAGATGTGGCTCTTCAAAATGGTGTTCCTGGTGCAGCGATGGCCTCGTTCCAGGATCGGCGCTTTGCTCCAGTCGGTGTCGCCCTCGTGTTTTCCCCTCCTTTGCCTTCCCCTAGTCTTCCTGCTCTAGGGAGTGGGCGTGTCCTCTGGTCCTGTGCCTAATCGCTGGAGCCTCAGTCCTCATTCCTGAGGAGGGCCCGGACCCTACATGCTCAAATCTACCAGGACTTCTCGCGATTCCCCCAGATTCCCCTGCGACTTCCCGCGTGACTAGTTTGGGCTCAAGAGGGCCCCAAGACGGGCCAAGAGGGACCCAAGAGACCGCCAAAAGAGTCAAAGAGGGCCCCGAACCACCGAACGATCGCTCCA